CTCAAGTTATCGATCTAATAGTTCGCTAGATAAATAAATTAATTTAATTAATTTATTCATCTATAAATTAATATAATCTATAGAGTATCTTTAAAATAAATTTTTTTTATACAAGATCCGTTAGATACACGCTTCTACATTGCTTCTACATTGAAAATCATTTTCAAAATTACCAGTTGGTTCAACCACTAAACACGGCCCAGATGCACGCGTGCAAACCAAATCAGACAGAAGCGTGTCGCTCAGATTGCGGGCCCCACCACGACAGCGCACTTCTGCCACACCTGCTCCTCGAGCGGCCCGTATTGCCTTGACTCCATGTTTGACTTTTCTTAGTAAATTAGCTCCCGGTTTTACCTACACCTTGCCGCATTGGATCATCACCTGCAAAAAATTTGATTCTCAGCTCTCTCTACCTGCGCCAAAGGAGAAAGAAAAAGGAAAAAAATAATAAAAAAATGCTAATGAGCTGGACACTTGTTTTATTTTAGTCCAAATTTAAGCCTATAAATAGGCTTGTCTTCAGCCCTAAAAATCATCCATCATCAGAAATCCTCGCTTTAAATTTCAGAATAAGCTCTTAGAGAAAATAGCTTAATTAACTTTTTAGATAGTTTTTGGAGGAGTTTTTACATCCTGTAAGGAGTATCTCAAGTCAAGATCAGAAGCTGTATCCAGCATCATCAGTGTTTGCACTAAACTCTGTAATGTTCTTGTATTTTTATAAAATGTTTTTAAATCATTAAGTTATTTTTGGTTAATTGAAATTATGTTTTAAACTTATTTGTGCCGGGATAATGACGTAGCCATATTATGAGGTGTTAATTTATTAAAAATATTATTATGATTGTCATATTTATGTTGATGTATTTATTTTTGGACATAATACTTTTCATATTTTTGGCCAATTTTTGAAATGAATTGAGGTCTAAAATGAAACCGAGAAGAGATTTTTGTAACAAAAATTTAAAATAAATACTATAAAATCTAGGGTAGTATAGAGACATAACTATCTGCTTTTATGTGGTCATTTTCGAATCCTTTAAACTTAATAAACATTTTGGTAAATTGATTCATATAGAGATATAATGGATTATTGTAAAAAATGTATATTTTATGTATAACTTGAGAAAGAATACGTAAAACAAGAAAAGATTTGACCATCAACATAGTATGATCTCAAAATCATAGTAATATTTAAATAGATTAAAACCGATTAATATTGGTGAAAGCAGGCATTTTCATAATTATTGTTTTATCATTTAATTAAATCTCATTTTTCTAAAAATTAGTTATTATTTATTTTCATTTTGTAATTTAATTTTTAAATTAAAATTTATAAAACTTGTTCCAAAACTCATGATTCGGCTGCTCAATAAAATTCAAATGACTCAATTTTAATACTTAATAAATATGTTATTCCTGTGGGAACGATACTTTTAACTCACTCTTTAATACTTGTTAGCGGTATCATACACTTACAATTAATACACACAGCAACAGTGTCAACTCTTGCTTTTAACTCCACCAAGTTAGCACTGGGATGTGGCAAGACGGTTGAGATTTGGATTGAAGCAAATATTCATCTTAACTGGTATGTCAAGATATATGTACTTTAAGCTGCAAATGAATATGCTTTTTTTGGTTCTGAAAAGATTTCAAATGTATATGCTTTCTCTATACTGGAGATTTTTTAAATCCCAAAGCATATTATTAAAGCAAATTTTTAACTATTAAAAAATAATATTTATATTAAATTCCACTTATAAGAGATTTTTAAAATTAAATATTAAATATTAAGGTGTAAACGTGAAAGGAAATTCATAGTCCTTATATAGAGCAATTGTGAGAATACATTCTTATTTCTTTTAATGTGGGACTCTTGCGTATTAATTATTAGAAGTTCTGACACAAACTATAATAAATGGTTTTTGAAACTAGAAACTATTACCAATAGATTTGCAGCCTAGTGGAAGAAACCAAAAAGCTCTTTTTAACGAGGTGGGCATGAGGCCTTTTCAAGTTACAAGTGTGTAATTTTATTATTATTATTTTATATTAAAGTTTCAAGTGTTGAAAAACGTAAAATTTCAATAAATATATTTTGCATTTCAATATATATGTTAAGCTCACTATTGACATCAAGGAGCAGTTGTTGTTCTAGTGGTAAGGTTGTGCAATGATGTTCTTGAGGTTGATTATGGCGCAACCAAGGTCTAATTTCATCGGATTTTCATATGCTACGTCTTCGCCACCGTAAGAGAAGACCAGCTTCTGTGATAGGATCACTAGAATGGTGACTCCTTCTCACCTGTCGCCGCGATTTGAAACGACAACATTATTATGTCACGATGTCAAGGAGATCACGATCTGTCTTCGTGGATTTCATCTACAATCTCCATCATTGTTCACAGTTGGGAGAGTGAGAGAGAGAGAAAGGAGGAGAGGGGCAGAGAAAGAGAATTTATATGTATATAAGAAAAAGATCTATAAAGATTTGTGATACATTTTTGTTCAAAAATAAATATTCTAGCAAGATATGAAAAATATCCTACAGAATAATTTTTTGTAAGGAAATTGAAGGAAATATATTTTGGTAGAATATGAAAAATATCTTACGGCAATATTTTTTAAAACTTGTTTTTAACAACTGAAGTCGGAGGAAAAATATTCTAACATATGAAAAATATCTTACCAGAAATTTTTTTCGTGGCATGAATGATAAATGTAGTTGATGCAAAAATAAAGCAGTGTTATCTCTTTTATGGCATTACTGAAATTTTCTCTTATGATTTTCTAATTACGGATAAAGCAAGAAATTATTTTAAGAGAAAATACAGCTTATAACATAATTTATACATACTACTTACACAAATAACATATTTACAAAAGATTAGAAGATTATGGCATATCAGGTTTACAGGTATGCAGTTTTAGTTTTGTTTTATCCCTCACTGAAGATCTCATTGATCTCTTCTCTTTATCAGACTCTCTCTCCTCCGCCACAAGCTTGCTCTCCCCTCATCCACGATCTCTCTCTCTCTTCTCCATGTCTCTCTTCACCTCCATGTCTCTCTCTTCAAGGACAATCTTGTCACTCGTATCTGCTGCGGGAGATCAGATCTCCGGTTCTTTCATCCTCTCTTGCTCTCTCAGTGTGCTCTGTCGATTCCCATTCGTCGCCGGCGCAACACGACGGAGCGGGACGGTGCATTGCGACTTTTTTTTCCATGATACGAGATCTCTCTCTGTGTTTCTCTCACTCTCTCTCTTCGTGACGGCAGCCATCGCCGGTGCCGTCGTTCTCCGCTCCTTTGAACTGCGTCGTGCTCTTTGTTTCTTCTCCTTCCTCTGATTCGCATCCCGATCGTCGGCACCTTTCAACGAGATTTTTAGAATAAGCGTTGTCGTCGATCAACAGACGATTCGGGGACAGAACCTGAAAACTTTGGGCCTTTGTGCTTTTTGTCCCTCGATCTTGATTGACCGGAGTTATCCACCGGCTTTTTCGGTGATAGTAGTGTGTCTAAAAGAGCTAATTTTGTGCTTGATTTGTTTTGTACTTCTGTGATTATTTCCTTCTGTTAGAACTCGGCATATATATTACTTCTTTAATCGTTTCAATCGAACTTTTATAGTCGGGAATGAGTCGCTAAATGTGTTTAGATTTCTTACGCCTGGATTAGCGGTTGAATTTTTCTAATCTGAAATGGATTTCCTATTTAAAAAAAAAAAAAAGAAAAGAAAAGAAGGTAATCATAGCTATGTTGACTTTCCCTAATAGGTTGACTAGAAAGGGTAATTAGCAATGTGGATGCAGCCGCCAAAGATTTGGCGAGTTTTGTCGGACTCGGCATACTGATTCCTGATGAGACGGGTACCGTTTTTATCTTTGCAGCGAAGAGGTATCCTGGTAGGTTCTCTCCACATGTAGCGAAATGTCTTGCCGTGCGGGAGGGGAATTTCACTTGCCCAGGTGCATGTTTCAGAAGTGGGTGGTTGAATCTAAAGCTATTAACGTTGTTCGAGCTGTCCAACTCTTGGGATTGAGATTGCCCAAATCAAATATCATTGCTGATATTCGCTTTAGTATTTCTCAGCCTTCTTCTGGATTCATGTGTCACATTTCCTGTTTGGAGAATTCCATAGCCCAACATGTTAGCTGCTTGTGTTTTTTCTTGTTTGTCTGATGTTATTCGGCTTGACTCTAGCCCTAAATTTATCAATTGTTTTGTACAAGCTGATTTAGCTATTATTGAATAAAGCAAGCCATCTTTTCCCTAGAAAAAGGGTAATTAGCAAGATTATTCCAAATTGCCTAATCGTGACCAATTTAACTTTTGCTTTTGGTTAACACCAGGCTGGTTATGTCCGTTATTGGAAAGCTTATTAGGATTCAAATTAAAGCCGGAATAGTTTCTATCAAACAAGTACCACAATATGGATTTTTCAGCCAAGAAAAAAAGTATCACAATACCGATCGATGGATCAAGTTTCTAGCAACATGAGATAATTAAAGTCTTAAAATTGTATTATTAGTCAAATCTGTCAGGAATTCTATCCATTTATATATCTGTCAATCTCTAACGTATTAATACAATTTACCTCTTGTTCTATTGGCACGGAGTTTGAGTGAGGGTAGTGGGTTCAATCCGTGTTGTATAAAAAAAAAATAACATTTCAACTTTTGGCTCTATTTATGAATGGGTAACCAGCATAATTGCTTATGTCTTTTATTTATTGATTTTGTGAATTCTTACAACCCAGTTGTATAACTCATTTACATTAAGCTGAAATAGTAATAACCATGTAGATCACCAGACTGCATCAAGCTGGAAATTTTAAAATCACTAACAGAGACACTAAATTAAAACAAGTAAAGAAACATGAAGTGAGACATATGGAATAAATCCAAAGATACATGTACTTAATCATCTACAATCTAATCTTTTGCCGCGTCTCTGGAATTTTAACGCTCTTGGTTTACGAAACCAACAAGATCAAGCTATATTCTTTGCAGTGATAAGTGGTGTATCTGTGCTTCCTGTTTCGGTATATTCCATGCTACCTTGGATTTCAGAAACCTCTTCTCCATGCATCTTCATGCACTCGTGGTAGAAAACCGTGTACGCAATCAACGAGAACATCTTAAGAAAGCATATGGAATTGACAAAGAGCAAGAAAACACACAACTTTGTTCCCACTGATTGTCTCTCATTTGTCATCCTCAAAAGGATCAACAAAGCACAATATAAAGCCCCAAAGAAAAGCTTCAACAAAAATCCTTTCAGTTTTAGGCCCCTGACAATCTGTCCGGCCTTCCCAAGTGCCTCAATTCCACTTTTCTCTTCGAGTACCGAAACGACAATAGCAAGAGTCCAAACGACAGCCAAGTAGAAGTACAAAAGTGCAATGGGAATGAGTATTAATATGGGAAGGACAAAGTGCATGGTCAGTTCATGTTCAAAGATCAGCACAAAAGGGGCGACAAAGGTTAAGACAAACAAAACGTAGCCGAGATCCAAAAGGGTAGTGTAAAAAAATGTTACAAAAGGCCTTTTCCATAATTTCACGACGCATGAAACTAAATGCCTGAGATGCAAATCCTTTCCTCTGTGTGCAGCAGACGATGACAAGATCGTGGCGGTCGCAAAGAGTAAGGAGGTGGTGCTGCTAGCGACCGCGTTAATCCACTCGATTGTGGCGATGATTCGGAGATCATACTTGATTGGGATGAGGAGGTTCGCAAAATCGACGCTGCTTGGTGAGAGCAGTATGGTGCTAAGCTTAAAGACAAAGTCGGCGAGATAGGGTTTGACGGAGAAAATGTTTGCCACCAAGAGGATCGAGATAAGGAGGAGGAAAATCAGTATAACGGAACGTACTAACTTACCATTTTTTCTAGAGAAAACTTTGAGGGATTTCTGTAGGGTCTCCACAAATTCAGAAAATATATCAAGAAAAGCCATCAATATTGCGAGAGGATTTTATAACAAGTTGGTTATGTGTTAAGAGGAAACAATCTTTGGCTTGTTTTCTACAAGAAAATAAAAGCATGGAAAGTTGATTAACTATGAAGGGTATATATAATGTTGTGGTTTTCTTATCGTATAATTAAATTGATCAGTTACTTTGGAAGATGGAAATGGAGGAATTATTCGGTACACTAAGTGTACCACGTCACATTGTTTATGTGGTACATCCGTTTAATGAGATTGTACTATTTGGACATTTTGTTTATATCAGCTTTTTACTTTTATTTTTCTCTTTCATAATAGGTATTTAAATAGTACAATCTTATTAGACTGGTGTCCAAATAGTACAATCTCATTGAACGGGTGTACCACATAAGTAATAAGACGTGATACACTCGGTGTACTGAATAATTAAGGATGGCTGTAGTACCTAGTTTTTTTAAAAGTCGTGTATTAAGCCAATAATCATATTTTACCCTTTAAGATGGGGAAACGCTACACCTAGCTAGTTTTTAACTCGAGACTTTTATAACTACCTTTTTAAATATATAT